AAAAAAAAAAAAAAAAAGAATTACCATGACCCAGTGTTTCCACTCCTAGGGGTGTGTATGTAGGTGTATCCCCAAAAAACTCTAAACAGGTATTCAAACAAATATTTGTACATGAATGGTCATAATAGCACTATTTCATAATGTGGAAACAACCCAAATGTCCATCAACAGATAAATGGATAAACAAAGGTATATACATACAATGGACTACTCTTCAGCCATAAAAAGGACTGAAGGACTGATACATGCTATAACACTGATGAACCTTGAAACATTATGCTAAATGAAAGAAGTCAAAAATGCCACCTATTATATGATTCTGTTCACATGAACGTCTAAAGTAGGGAAATCTACAGAGACAGAGAGTAGAACAGTGGTTGCTTAGGACTGGGTGAGATGGGGAGATGAGGGGAGGCGTGTGTAGGGGAGACAAAGTAGGAGCTGAGAAAGGAGCTGGAGAAATGAATTCTCAACAGAGCAAACAGTTGGAAAGTATAAAAGTACATGACATATTCGAGAAATACAGAGTAACCTAGATAGGGTACATGGGGAAGGAGATGGAGTATAGTAAAGAGGCTGGAAAGAAAGGCAAGAACCAACCATGACGGGCCATCCATTCTTCCAAGGTGTTCAGATTTAATCTCAAAGGGGAAACACTGGCAAATCAATAAGCATATAATATGATCAGAAATGTATATCCAAATAAGTCTGGTGGCACCATGGAAAAATAACAGAAGAAAGTCTAGGGGTAAAGATAGTAGAGAAATTACTAGAAAAGCCCAGCTGAGACTGGTCTGAGCTGTACAAGTGGCAAGAGGATGAGGAGTAAAACTGCATAGTGTTTAATCATTTCTATGTGAATTTTGAGGGAGAAGTGCTTAGATCCACCTTGGGTGAAAAGAAGGATGGTGGTACCATGATTCCAGAGAAGAAACGCAGGAGGATCAGGTCTAAGAAATGCTGAGTGTTAAGACGACGCAGGACTTCTAAGCAGAGATTCCAATGGACAGTTAAAAGTCAGGGAATGGAGGGGCGCCTGGGTGGCTCAGTCGTTAAGTATCTGCCTTCAGCTCAGGTCATGATCCCAGAATCCTGGGATCGAGCCCCGCATCAGGCTCCCTGCTCCACTGGAAGCCTGCTTCTCCCTCTCCCACTCCCCCTGCTTGTGTTCCCTCTCT